GATGCAAAGTACGGTCTCTGTTGTTTTCTTTTTTACTCTAACGTTGAATTTTCCTTCAACGATTGTGTTTGTGGACGTCTTTCGCACTGTGCTTTCCTTCTCCTTGTAGAATTGCTTCCGTTCATCATCTGTCCTTGCTCGTTGGGCTGCGAACTACAGTTATGAGGTGACATTGCCGCTGTTTACGGACGGTGCAGCCGTCTTTTTCGCGATGATTTTTACGCCTCCTGCCGATCCAGGTTACTGTGCGCTTTCCCGCGGAAAGTTCGGCAGATTTTCGGGTTTCGTACCCTGCGAGAGCATCTGCATTTACCTTGTTCGCCTCGGTGATAGGTGACAGTATACGTGTCTGATGACAGAGCTTTGGCATTTTTGCTTGCCACTCGCGTCCGGACCATCATCGGGTCGTAAGTAGTCGCAGTTTCCGCAATCCGACCTGGTTGCTGCACTTATGGCCAGAGTATCCTTCCGCTCGTGACGTGTTTTTAGCGAGTTTCGAGCACAGTTCATTCGGGTGCCAAACTTCGTGAACTACAGCCAGATCCAACCACTTTGTAGGCAACATCGCCATCCGCAAATGCGCATTCCATCGAGAAAGTTTTAAGAAATCTGTGAAAATGTCTTATTGCTTGCGGTCTTCTATTAGGTCCTACAAAAACATGATTTTACGTGATTGAGTTAGTTTTAAAGCAAATATGAGGCAGCATTCGGGTGTTAAATGTTTTACTACCTTCCAATGGAGTCTCGACTAACTCAGACAGTAGTTATGATGGATACAGCTAAAGCTGACGTGTCAAATTGAACGTATAAGTATGGTATGCAGAATGAGCTGCGAAATAGTACAATACAGGTAGATGAAACATTAAACTGTATACAGTCGTTTAGCTGAAGGTTCGATGCAGCAGTTTGCATACTGAATGAAATTGATTTCACGCCTGGGAGTTAATAAAGAACTGAAAATGGAATAGACCAATGGGATACCAATCATATTAGTCCTTCCATCGATCAAATTTACATGTGTATGCTTTTAGGCCCTAAGTTGCCTAAACGCTGATATAACAGATTAAGAAATACGAATGAGCAAAACAAGTTATGGAAATTATGCTTCTTATCAGGTTTACCAGAGTCTGGCTCAAAATAAATGTTGGTCTTAGGATCGATTGGCCAGCTAACTGAACGGATGACCTTCCATAAGCTTCAGGGCATTCAGTGTGACGCCTGCAAGAAATGCACACGGGTCTTGTGCTTAGCCCCTTCGAAAGACGGTGTTAGGAATATTGAAACAGCGGATGACTTGGATCGGACAGAACAGAACTGCATAGATCAACAAGGTTCAAGAGCAGCTTCAGAATTCTGGAGTTCTGTTGCTTACCTAAGAACCAGAAACATATTCAAATACTCATGCATAGGCGGTGATGATTCCATCTTTATTGATTGAGTTTGTTCTTGGGAGTTAAACCAAATGCCTAAATCTCAGTTTCATAATTCTTGGAATTTTGTTCAAAAGCTGCATTTTTTCACGTCACAGACCTATTAATAATTTACTATATTACAAGCCTGTATGCCAACCCACCACTTTAAATGGTATGATGTTGTAAAGAGAAAGGTTAAAGATGACTCCGAACTTGAAAAGAAAATTACTATTTCGGCAAAGTTCATCCAGGATATTCTCAAGATCCACCTTTGCTGACTTCAGTAATTTGCTGAATATCAGCACTCAGCTGCAGCTAACCGTTGCCAAAATTTTCGAAAAACATTTTGAAACATCAGCTAGCACTATTCAACCAGCGTTCTATAGATGGTATGTGGATGGTTTTCTTGTCATTTGGAAAAATGACGTGAAATCT